GGGGGGGGGGGGGGGGGGGGGGACGAAGAGAGAAATGACAGAGGAAGTGATAAGAGCCAAGGCTTCCCTCTTCCGTGTCTCTTCTGGTTCCCCAGCTACCGCCCTCCATCGCTGCCGAGTTTACCTCGCTAATCCCTAATCTGTCTTACCTAATTTGACGAAGCAACTGAACGTAGGGCGGGTATTCGTCTCACGTGCGAGAAGCGCGATAACGCTACGGGGTCGTGTCCGACACATCGCGGGAACGTAGATTATATTCAAATCAGTTCGGCATATACGAGCGGTAGGCCAGTTATGGTAAATCAGTCAAGAACCTTAAATATTTATGAAACACGAGGAACAGGGTGCAGTTGTTATTGAGAGTCTTTCGATTTTTTTTGCCGCGTTAAAGACTCGTCTGTACAAATTATCTCAGGCCGAGTATATGGAGGTCTCCGGTGTTAACTAATGAATTTTTGGGAATACGAGGGTGGCATCTTTTTGTCATACGGCGCTCTAGCTATTCATCCCTTAGGTTTTTAACGACTCGCTCTGGCTGACTATGACTACACTATATATATATATACAGTAATGCGCAATTGAAGTGGAACACTTGAATTTTTGTGTATCTCTACGAAACTATGACCGATTTAAAAAAACCAAAGATATGTTTTTTAGGAAATTTCCTTCCCGTTCGAATGGTAAAAGTTTTATCCCGATCGGATACAAAATGGCCGAATGGCAGGGGTTGGAGTGAAAAAGTGCATTTTTGAACTTTTTGAAAATTTCGAGATCTAGTAGTTCCAGAAGGAAATTTATATTTCTAATCAGAGAACGAGAGAGAGCATCCTTCGGCAATAAAAAAACACCCCCATTGAACCCCTGTAGGATCACTCTAGGGGGAGTTACACCCCCTTGAAGTGAAAACACTTAAATGGCCATAACTTCCGAACGCGCCGGCCAATCTGGTCCAGTTTCTGAATGATATCATCTTTAATGATACTGCAGATTTTCACAAAATTATTGTTCTCGGAGATGATCCTGTGACAGAGATCTCGAGATTTCGCAAGCGCGCCCGAAGCTTCCCCGCTATTTTTCATAAGGAAAGCGATGAAATAGAAGTTTCATTTTCATCCACGTTGTAGCTGAGATTTCAACGATTAAAACGCGCCTTTAAACATCCAAATACGAGTACGCTAAGGGGTTACATTTTAATTTGAAAAAACGCCTAAATTTTGCGAATTCCGCTCGAGGCGCTCGGGGGACAAATGCTTGGCGCGCGTGGTAGGGTACTAGTCCCCCGAGCGCCTCGAGCGGAACTCGCAAAATTTAGGCGTTTTTTCAAATTAAAATGTAACCCCTTAGCGTACTCATATTTGGATGTTTTGGGGGTGTTTTTTTATTGCCGAAGGATGCTCTCTCTCGTTCCCTGATTAGAAATATAAATTTCCTTCCGGAACTACTAGATCTCGAAATTTTCAAAAAGTTCAAAAATGCACTTTTTCACTCCAACCCCTGCCATTCGGCCATTTTGTATCCGATCGGGATAAAACTTTTACCATTCGAACGGGAAGGAAAATTCCTAAAAAATATATTTTTGGTTTTTTTAAATCGGTCATAGTTTCGTAGAGATACACAAAAATTCAAGTGTTCCACTTCAATTGCGCATTACTGTATACACGAGCAACGAGCGTCTTCTAACGAGACAATTAATAACTTTTCAAATCTGTCCCCGGCAGGGACGTTTGGTAGCGCGTTGGCAAATAAATAGCAGATAAATAAAAGCATCCTCCCGTTCCATTCTATCGTATGGGGTTGCGTGTGCAGATGGCAACAATATGCCGTGAAATATTGCCCACGTTGTCCCCACGTAGGCAACGTGCGGACTCGGGACGCATACTACGATCGGTCTGACTTATACCCACGTGTACTGCTGCTTCTGACTACGGGTATATATGTATGTATATGGGTGTATATATATATATACTTGCGTTGGCATATACTAAAGTCCTCGAAATTCTCGGAGCAGCACGTTGCACCGGCGTGATGGTCCTCGTGATATTTCCAAGTGACTATATCGTGTTATGACTTTTAGAATGGGGAGCACAATAGGCCAGATCCGTGCGGGATAAAATAGTTATTATAATCGTTTTGGCTCCGGACGGGATTGGATACTATGAATCAAAAGTTTCCAAATAGAAGACGATAGTGCACAAATGACTGGATTAGAAAAATGTAGATCGTAATCGCATTTGGCAGACAGAATAAAATGAGTTCGGGCTCCCTTCTATCTAACGCCAACTATGTGTGTACCGACCGAGGATTCTTCTTTACCGACGCGTCAGCACGCGTCGGGCTCATCCTTTTATTTCAAATCCGTCCGTTTGAAAACGTTTCCCTTTTTCCAATTCGTCCTTCCGACGGAATCGTAGCTTTCCACGTGTTTCCCTTTGGGACGTTGATAATGAAAAAAGACTGGTCCGCACGAAATAAAAAGTGGAAGTCATGACTCGGGATGATCTCGAAACGAGGTTTCGGTTTGAAAATTGTTCAGGTGCCACAAGGGCATACAAGGAGGCATACAGGCATCCAGTCAGGCAAGAAGACTGAGAAAATGGGCAAAACGTCTCTTTGGGCAGCTTGGTAAGGAGCTCATTGAACAGTTTTTGGAAAAGCTTCCGAGTGATATATGGGCGTTGGGCATTGTCCCACGAAGGGCAGTCTCGCTCGAGAATAATGGATGATTTTTCGCATCTATTGTATCCGGAGGACACCAGCCGGGGGCCACCAGACATTGTTGCGAACCTTCCCGAAATACCGACCCCCTCTTTTCGTTTGATGGACCAATGAGGTCTCTTCCCCTCTAGCTCCCAATACCCGGGCGCCCCTATTTCTCAAACGTTCTCGAGTGGATAATTTTCTTGTTATTCGTTTGGCATTAGAGGATAGTAACAAGGCCGGTATATCGATCTGCCGATTGACACTCGGGGTGTCTCGAGTTCGAGTCTCGATCGGTTCCAGATAGACCTCAAGTTAAAAGATCCTACGTGGATAGACGCTTCGAGGCGAGGATTAAGAGAGGAGATATTGGATTTAGATAAAAGCCGGCCTATTTGTAAATGAGTACTGGATGCCGAGGCGTACGAGCGTTACGAGGACCGCTCACTTTTTTTTGCGGATGACTTTTTCTACCGATAACAATCAAATCCTCGGCAAAATCGAAAGGTGAAATCGAAGGCTCCCTATAACAATTATTTTCTTAATTGACGTACCTCGAGCGTGAATTGGGTTATATATCGGAAGCAGTCGGTGTATGGTAGCTTGAGAACAAAAATTTCTTAGGTACTTTCGAGCTGACTCGTTTGCAAAAGTATAACGGTAATTGTGACGCGTGCGATATAGAAAGGTATATACGTATATATATAATCTCTAGGAGATATATTGTAATTAGAACGCGTTGACGATGCAATAATTGGAGTTAGAATTGACCATTTATTTTTCATTGAAAGGCAATAACGTTTCGTTTCATAGTTGATACGCTTTAATGAAAAAGTCAATGCCTACCAAACTCAATTCTGCTACTGGAGTTTAAATAAAAATCGAGCAAGTTGAAATTTGTCTAATTGAAATTTGGGCTTCGCCAATTTCTAACGGTAAATACATTTGGCAGTTAATCGACCATTTTTTTCAACCCGTACTTTTTGTAGGCACGATCGGAGTGAGACAATAAAAATTTTCTTTTTTAGCCCATAAAACATTATGTTCGAGATCGTTAGGAATTTCGAAAATTTTAACACTGCTTGTCAATGGTTGTGAAAAATTTTCCTATCCATACATTTTTCGCAGGAGCCTCGAAAATTTGATTTCCCCAACACGCCCCTACGTTTAGCAAGTAACTTTCGTCGACATCAGTTCCCCTTTGCGAATAATCCCTAAGTGCCGTGTCCGCAAACATGCACTCACCTTTGCGCTTTGGCAAAGTGGCGGAAAGACTCGAGTATAGACTCCGAGGGCTAGTCAAGAGTCGGCATTCAGGTACAGGAGAGAGGGAGAGAGAGAGAGAGAGAGAGAGAGAGAGAGAGAGAGAGAGAGAGAGTCGAGTGAAAAAACATGAAAAAGAACCGCAAATCCGTGGGTAAGCGTAACTACCGGTTGATGCACCGATCATTCCGCCATGTTGGCTTTGAAAGGAAGAGC